TTCTGATATATCCTGTGGAAGCCATCTGGAAAGTTCTTTGTCAGCAAACGTTGAACGGCATTCTGAGGCTCATGGATATTTGCGTGGATCTTACCACGCAGATCATTTTTCAAACATGAAAATACCCCAAAATTTTGGAATTTCTGATACCATTTGTAGATTGTGTACTTAGGCACACTGTCCCCAAATGCTTTTTGGATATCCCTAATGGTATCCTGCTTGGATTTCCCTAGCAACACATTGTATCTGATGCTACTTCTCAATTGTTATTTCATTTCATTGTTCATTTTGCTTCCATTGGCAATCCTGACAGCCATGATTTTGATGATCTCATGGAGCAGTGTCTGATGGATCATTCTGGATCATTCCATCTGTTGTATCATGTGTCTGTGATGTCATAGACTACTGTTGCCATGGTATCATATTTGTGTATGTTGTTGCTATGTTTGTCATGACTTTCAGCCATAGCAAACAAAGACATATGCAGCATTAATCTTAATCAATTTCATTGCATTATAACATTTTTATTAAAGTAAGAAATTGCTCCGCAGAACCCATATTCACGTTACTATGACAACCATTGTTTTGCTATTATTCATCATATCTTATTTAATTTTTCAGGGTAGTTAGAAAAATGTCAAATGCTTCTTCACTGAAAATTTGAAAGATAAATGACAAAAAATAAAAGTTTGAGAGCAAAATTAGCTTTACTTACTGAACGCCCTGTATTAACAATGGGTTAGGAGCATCATTAAACACGAATCAATTTGTTATTTTAGGTGAAATAAATATATGTGTTGCTGTGTTTGAAAATAGGTGAATGGCGTAAATTCGCCCTATTTTAATGAATTTTGAAAACCTTTCGTCCTCCACTTTTCCACATACAACAGAAAACACATACGTTTGCGAACAAAATCAGCTATTTATCAATAAACTAGAGTTTTTGAGCAAAATAATCATGTATGATATATAACAAAGTGGTCTCGTATTTTTTGTTTAATGTACACTTGAAAAGTTGAAGGTAACAAAAAATGAGCAAAGAAGGTCGCTGTCAACAGATTCTATTTTTCAAACTATATGACGTCACAATATGGGACGCTAAGTAGAATTCATCCTTTGAAATAACACTTCCATCTACCTTTATCAAGATGAAAATAAAGTATAATAGTCAAATATTGTTTGAGTTACGCGTTTTAAAACGAAAAAGTATTCAAAATGTAACGTGTCGACAGCGGATATTTGGAAGATTTTCGGGTAAAAAACTCTTTTTTAAAAAAAAGAACGCGCAAAAATTATGAAAGAAGTGTACTTCATTTGAAAACTTCATTAAAGCAGCTTTAAAATGATATATAATTTTGATTAGAATATTATCTTATATTCCGAAGAATTAAAGTTACATTCATGCGATACCCTAAAAACACAAGTGTGCCAGCTTTTTGCGACGTGTCAGTATATCCAACTATAAGCTTCTCTAAATAGAGACAACCACAACCGGGCAACCACAAACACAATCGTGGACCAACCGATACATACTCCTCCCACGAAACGTTTTAGAAGTACAGATTATAACGGTTTTTTGAAGTTCTGTCTACTTAACAAGTAAGGTCGTCTGAACTCTTTGTTCGTTAATATGTTGATTTTCTTAAATATATTAGTTATGATCACTCAATCACTCGATTAACGGTATGCTATGAAAACTATTTTTAATGTTTTTTAACTTTTTCTTGCATTTTAAAAATATTTTCTTGCGAAATTGCGTCTTGGAATTTTTGCTGGAGAGGTGTTTCTCTGTAAACACAAATTTCTATCAACAATTCACAAACTCTGATGGTACATTGTATTCTCGAATAACACATCGTTGAAAATGTTCGAGCTTTGTGACGGACCCGATGCAGAAAACGTTATCCTCCATTTTAAAGGGAGTTTTTACCACACATGACGAACACTGCCGAACACTCACAACTACTCCCATGAAAGACATGCGTCGAAATCTGATTACGCACGATCATTTCGTTTTGTCATTTGATTTAATCCTGGCTGCCTGTCTTATCCGCCAAGGTTAAAAAGCGAGGGACTAAATGAATAAATTACAGCTTCATTTAAACCAAAAATTACAAACCAGAGGCATTTTTAAATTCCGACTAGATTGTGTTCCTTGGTACATAATTATAATATGCAACTTAACGTATGACATTCATGACATGTGTTTCAAAATAGAAAACATCTTACAGAATGAGAATAGCCAACCTCCTCTATTTCGTAACATTACGTCAAAGTAACTACAAATAGTTGTGAAACAATAAATACGAGCGTTTAATTTCAGTAAAATTAGCAACCTTTAGCCCCTTCTATTGGACTACGTGTTAAAGCCTTTCATGTTTGAATTGTGAAGAGAAAAAAATATATGTAGGGCTGCAGATGTCAAATTCCTCATTTTTCTAAGTTTTCGCCATTTACAATAAGTGGGAAATTGCCACAAATCATGTAACCTACAGAATATGGATCCATCCGAAGTTCTAACAAAAATATAAGTTAATAAAGAGAAAATTGAATATAACTTTATGGAACACAAAATTGATATATTCTTCGAGAATATTGGGACAGTTCGGAGGTGCAGAAAATTAAAAAAAGTTGGGGAGTTAAGGCTGTCAAACCTATAAAGGGATGTATGATATTGAAAAATAATGTATCCTTTTAAAAACAAATGTTAAAATAAATTATAGAAAAGGTGTCCATTCGCCTGTACTTTTTTCAAAATACCCGTTCATTTGTAATTGTCCGTTCGGCTAATAACCCAATGATCGGATCTAGTACAGAGGCCAATACTTTTTTTCATCGGTTTGCCCCTCTTACTTTTATCTGGACCGCCCCGTAGATTATACGTCAATGGGTCATCTTCACTGGAACCAGACGATTTTCTTGTCCGACGCATGAGATATATCATATGCGGCGTTCCCTTTTTGCTTTTGCAAATGTTGAAAATTGAATGCGATTGCAACCCTGGGAGTGTAACATTGCTCAGAGGTACTCAATCCCTTAAAATAATGCATTGGACCACAATTTCATTCGTACCTTATTCACAGAATCGATGGTACAGCTATAGTAACACCAAGTAGTGACACTACGTTATTTCTAAAGGATAAATGTCAAATATTACATTGTTTTTGCGAGACCTCATCGGGGACCTCATCAACTTTGAATAAATGTTTCATTTTTCCCCCTTGGAGCCCCTGGGTTTGAGACCAATCATAATACATTGTACATCTTCTAAATTACCGCGAGTGACAAATTGAATGATTGTATTTTAATTTTCACTTTACAAATATTACATACATTCCTCATGTTACAACAAAGACATATAAAACTGTTTTATATGTCTGGTTACAAAGACAATGGAATATGATGCAGTTTCATGTTACCAGGTTTATCAATCCTATAGTCACTTCACATATAAAAACGTATTTCTCATTTATCCATCAACCAAAATATTGCTGGGGTGTACAGATGGTCTTGATTGCTGTTAGCTAACCGAGGGACGCACAAATTAGCTCGATTACAATTTCCTTGATATCGAATTGAGCTGCATGCCAAAACTAATTAGGTGCATTCCCAAGTAGAAATTCACCAATCAGAAAACGTATATATTTGAAGTAAGACATGCATGATGGGATTGAAAAGGGCGCCGTTTGTTGATTACACTACTCACCTATGGTAACATTCCCGGGGAAAATCCTCCCGGGGACAGATTAATGTTCCCACTATTGACCAGACTTGGTACTACACTCCACTCCACCTTTTGTAAATAAGGTCCACATATATACTTTCATCTATATATCGTTTTAGAAAACACATCTAACACTTGTTTTGTTCTTGGTTTCATGTTTCCAGAGTGAAATGAAACATCTTTCCGAACCTCATTGAAACAAAACGACATAAACACAACATGTTTAGGTCTCTCAATATTGTAATTGTACAAAGGAAATTTTGATTGATTTAAAAAAGTATCTTGTTAATGAAATAAAAGGTTTATCTTGATTTTTATCTACATGTATTTTGGGAGTATTTTGTTTTAATTTTTTGAATACTTTTTTAAAATCAACCAAAAGTTCCTTTGTATAACTATATAATATTGAGAGGTCTAAAAACATGTTGTATATGCTATTTTGTTCCAACAAGGTTTGGAAAGACATTTTATTTCATTCTAAAGAATTGGTAGAAAGGAGCAAAAACAATTGCACTAAAAAACAAAAAATGTTAACAAAAACAGTTACGAGTATATAAAATATTTCTAAATAATTTTCGCATTAAATTGTTGTCAATCAGTCAACATTGCATAAAATACTGTGTTTTTGACAGAATGTTTTCAATGATTGGTTGAAGGGAAAAACATTGTTCAGTTCTCCATATCGATACCACTCCTTTGAACCTATGATATACCAAATTAAAGATAAGTAAATTCCCTATCCACTGGTATATAATTTGACATGTTTTCATGAAGAAGAAGAAAACCAATATTTATTTTTGAAATATGAGTGTCCCATTTTTGGACCACCCTGTACAGTTGAGGTGGCATAATAGGCCAAGGTAATTGGTCAATATGATTTAAGGTACTAAGAGAATATATGTCACTTTGTTGCATTAAAAAGGTTCGTGTCACAGGTCAAGGCTATCTGAGAGGTCAAAGTGCAATATATGATATTTGCATTAAAAGCTGTTTGAACCTTCAAATCACTACTGGTGTACTTAAGAAAGGTTTATTATTTGAAATGTGTCAGGACAGCAACTAGTATTAGAATTGAAAGAGAATAAACTGCATGGGATAAAATCTATGGAATGACTATTACACATGAAAATCCAAAAGCACTAAAGTAACCACTAAAAGTAAGAGATCAGATTCAGGTACTTTATGTTCATTGTTAAGTGAGATACAGTCTGCCCAAATAATGCTTCTTAATGAGTTATTTCATTGGCTCCTTCTATATTGCACGTGAATATTTTCCAGGGAAATCCTTTTGGATGAGTTTACTCAATATATGAAACTCTGAGGTCTCAAGTGGTGTTCATGAGGTAGTTCCCTATACCTATGATGGCAGTAGGAGGAGTTGATGTAGATTGGACTGATAAATTGAGTGAGAGCCAGCGAGAACAATATGAGGAAATAGAAGCCCTACAGTCAATACTCATAGACCCTGGACAGTTCAAACTTCTATCATCACCAAAAGATGGCCCTGAGGTGCTGTTTTCTATGCAGTTGAATGTGTGTGTGAAGACTAAAGATGGAGGTATGAGTGTTGAGGCCTGGGTACCATATGAACATGACATAGCCCAGGCAGAGCATGCTGTAGCTGCAATACCATCAAACACACGACCACAGTTTGCCAGGTCCGACTCTGGGAGACATTGGCACTCTTCATTCCACGTACAACATCTGACACCATTGTGCCTTCAAGTGACCTTGCCCCAAGGTTACCCAAATGATGCTGCACCAATCTTCACTCTCTCTTGTCTCTGGTTAGATTCCTCACAGTTAACAGTACTCTGCCAACAGTTAGATAGGCTCTGGGAAGGACTAGCTACTATGCCAATAATATACACCTGGATAGACTGGTTAGAACATAGCGCACTTGAATTCTTAGCACTCACTGAATCAGTTATCTTGACTCCATATTTGGATGCTGACTCTGCTTGGATGGGCAACCGGGATCCCAGAGCTTTACCTGAATGTGTGGACTTAGACGTTTCCCTCAATGCTATGCTTCAGCACCACATGCAAAGAGACCGGCAAGAATTCTTGAAAAACAACCATGAGTGTGGAATATGCTTTGATGAGAAACCTGGGCGTGAATTTTTTCGTATCAGTGATTGTCACCATCATTTTTGTAGAGAATGTATGACTGATTATTGTAACCTCCATGTAGGGGAAGGGACTGTGCAACAATTACATTGTCCAGACAATGACTGTAAGTTTGCCCTTCCTCCAGTCATCATTGAGGCTGTTTTAGGAAATGATGAATTTCAGCGCTGGGAAAGATTATTGCTCCAGAAGGCCCTTGACACGATGGGTGACATCACATGGTGCCCACGCTGCAATAATGCAGTTATTAAGGAATCAGAGGAGAGTCTTAAGTTAGCTCATTGCACCACGTGTATGTACTCATTTTGTACAGATTGTGATGACCCGTGGCACCAAGGACAGCCTTGCAAGGATCTTGAGGGGCAGTTGAAGGAACTTAAAGACAACACAAAAACAAAGACCTCTTCATCTAACGAGCAGAAACGATTAAATATGATAGCTTACCTTTCAAAACAAACATTGAAAAAAATCAGCAAACCATGTCCAAAATGTAAAGTCCCCATTCAGAAAAACCTTGGATGTAGCCTTATTCATTGTACCAATTGTGGGGCCAAGATGTGTTATATATGTGGCAAGAATATATCACAAAAAAGCTATGAGCATTTTGGGCAGAGCTGCCAACTTTTCACTGGGGATGCCTACAATATAGTTGCAGCTCCTCCAATACAACAGCATAACGAGAGAGATCTAGAAATCAGGGAACAGCTTCAAAATGACCCAGATGCTCAACAACGTATGAAACTTTGCCCTAAGTGCAAGCAAAGAAACCTGAAGGAAAAGCGCAATAACCACATAAAGTGCTGGCAATGTAATAGCAACTTCTGTTATATGTGTAAGACTGTCATCCAGGGTAAGATAGTAGAACATTTCATGAATCCACTTAACACCTGTCAGCAGCATAGTGATGATTAACTGTTAACATAATGTATAGTGTTTATAAATTGTTACCATTATGTATGCTAATAACAGTGATAATTAACTGTCATCATGATATATAAAAATTGAAAAAATAGCATAGTGATGTATAGTCACTACTGATAACAAGGTGATGACTTAATGTCACCATTATGTAAAGTAAAAGTAAAAGATTGATAAACCTTCATTATAATGTATATTGGTAGCATAGTAATGATTGTCACAATAATTTAAGGTGAAAGCAAAGTGATGATAAACTGTGGCTTAATGTCACCATTATGTAAAGTAAAAGATTGATAAACCTTCATTATAATGTATATTAGTAGCATAGTAATGATTGTCACAATAATTTAAGGTGAAAGCAAAGTGATGATAAACTGTGACCAAATGTATGATCATAACATTGTGGTGATTAACTGTCAGCATAATAAAAAATGAAAAAATAGCCCAGTAACTGAGTAATGTCTAGTCAAAGAAAAAGTGCTGATTAACTGTCACCATAATGTATAGTGCTACAGCGATGGTATTAAGTTGTTATAATTATGTACAATGATAACAAAGTGATGGTAAATTGTTACTGATATGTTTGATTAACTATCACCATAAGGTTCTGTTGTAACACAGTGGTATTAAATTGTAACCATAATTTATGTTGATAATATAGTGATGATCAATTGTCACAATAATTTAAAGTGATAACATAGTGACGATTTAATGTAATCATTATGTACTGTAATTGATAGCGTAGAGATGGGTCACTGTCACCATAATACAGTGCGTATAAAAAAAATGCAACAGATTGTTATCTCGGAAAAGCACAAAACCAGTGATAACACCATTGATTTCATTCAATGCACCATTAAGCCATAAATCCCCTCTTTAAGATGATATATCATTCGTTGATAATGGGTCATGGTTGGGCGAGTAATTAACTTGGGACCAAGTTATAATCATCGCAAAAGTCAGTGTACGGAGCCCAATGCAAAATTGGAAGAAAACATAAAACCAATGCTGACTGCATCCTTTTCATTCAATGGACCAAAAAGCCAAATTACTCCTCTTTGCAATGGAATATCATTCATTCACAGGGAGTCATGGCTGGCCGAATAATCATTTATTTTGCAAAGTGGGGCAAGATTCAGCTCGGAGCCAAGTATTAAACATTGCAAAAGTCAGTACAAGGGGCATAGGGGCTATAGGAAGAAGGTATGACAAGTGCGGCATAGACAGTAAAGTGTTCATACTCTTGCAGGAATACATCCTATACCCCTCCCCTATTACCACAACTTCTTTGCACATAAAGATGCACTCATCTGTCCACATCATGCATGGTTCAGCCCTAAGTCATATATGGGTTCAAGCAGAGAAAAGCAGCCCATGGGCAATTCTTTCTCGAGGTTTTGCAATATTTGGTGGAGGAATTGTGAGCACAGATGCTCCTGATATAGCTCCAAAAAAAAAAGTCACAACAATTCAAGTCAGGGGAACTTCCATTGGTACTTAGCCCTTGCACTGATTTTTGCAATCTCTAAAACTTGGTCCAGGGCCGATTTTTGAGCCACTGTGCAAATCGAAGTATTTCTCACCCAACCATGACCACATGTGAATGAATGACATATCATTGCAAAGAGGAGAGATGTGGCTTTATGGTACATTGAGTGAAATTGATGTAGTCATCACTAGTTTTTTGATTTTACGAGATAACTACTTGTTGCGTTTTTTTTGATACACCCTGTTTACAGTGATATGATGACATAGTGAAGATTAAGCGTAACCATTATGTAATTGACAGCGCAGAGATGTGTCACTGTCACCATGATATATAGTGATATGATGACATACATGTAGTGATGATTTAATGTAACCATTATGTAATTGATAGCGTAGAAATGGGTCACTGTCACCATAATATATAGTGATGTGATGACATTGATGATTTCATGTAACCATTATGTAATTGATAGCGTAGAAATGGGTCACTGTCACCATAATATATAGTGATGTGATGACATAGTGATGATAAAATGTAACCATTATGTAATTGATAGCGTAGAGATGGGTCACTGTCACCATAATGTATAGTAATAATTTATTGTTGATTCTTTAAAGTGACGACAATGTGATGACTTGATGTAACCATGATATAAGTGGTAGCATAGCGATGATTATGTCACAATAATTTAAATTGATAATATATTCATGATTAACAGTCATCTCAATGTATAATGACAGAATAGGGATGATTAATTTTAACCATAATGTATAGTGATGAGTAGGATGTGTAGTGGTTGCATATAAATGATGATAAACTCTCACAATAATCTTTAGTGATAACAAAGTGATAACAAGGCATGAAAATGCGAAATGCCACCTGCCATTTGTGAAAGATACCAACCACCAGAAATGCCAACTGCCATTCATAAAAGTGTTGGAGACTATAACAATATGTCACCACTTTGGGTGGTAATATAATTAACTGTCACCATGATGTATAATGATAACATAGTGATGATTTAATATAGCCATGATGTAAGTGATTGCATAGTGATGCTAAACTGTTACAGTTATTTAAAGGCATGATACTTTTTAAATGTTGCCATATAACCATAACATGTAGTGGTAGCATAATTGCAATCATTACTAAACTTATTTAATAATGATGCATATACTTTTCATTATGTCTCAAAATGAAGAGATTTGTGATAATTACATACATTCAGTGCCAGTTCTTCTGTTGAATTATAGTTGCTGATATGAAACTGCCAGCAATAAAGTTATCAAAATAAAGGAATTTTATAAGCAAATAATGTTATTTTTATTTTCTGCACCTTTATATAGTAGTACATTTAAACCCTCCAGTTCCACAAGACATGGGATAGAAAATGTACTCTATACTGAACTACTAGAAAAATGTTGTGGGTATATGAATATATGTAGGACAACTAGATATCTTTCAGAATAGTAATCCAATAACATCAGGCCCGTAGCCCCTGGCCAAAAATTCTTTCAAAATCGTGCAGTTTTTCACCATTTTGAGCACTTCACAAGTGATTTTAGCCATATTTGGGCCAAAATTGTCAAATGTGAACCCCCCCTGGAAACTTTTGAAAACGGACCCCCCCCCCCTTGGCAAATCCTGGCTATGGGCCTGAACTGATTTGATGGCAGCAGAGACATGTAGCAATGAAAATAGAACATGTTTGAAGTCAATTATAATGCATGTTAACATAATTAGGAGGAAACTGCTGAAAACGAAAAAATCCATAATTAAATACGGTGACAAATACTCCCTGATTCATTGCATTATCACTTTTAATACAAATTTGACAGTATGAGCCTCAATGACTGAAATGTCCCATATAATTGTTTTTTACATAATCGTACAGAACAAATCGAATTTCTCATATATTTAGTTCTTCAGATACTGTTTTTTAAGCTGACAGTCTAAAATCAACACTGAGAAAATAGATATCTGTGAGTCTTGTTTCTGAAATATTGCAATTTCAAGGCAGGTACCTTCTCAAAAAGTATCTACTTGATAAGCATATTAAATGAACTAAAACTATAACTGTATAATATTCTCAAATTATTTTTTTATGTAATATACACAATAATTTATGCGAGCAATATGTGTTTAAGACACACTACTTTTCAGCAATCTAAGGATCCATGTTTTCATTCTTTTACAGGTTTAACCCCCTATACCTATGATGGCAGTGGGAGGAGCTGATGTAGATTGGACTGATGGATTGAGTGAGAGCCAGTTAGAACAATATGAGGAAATAGAAGCCCTACAGTCCATACTCGCAGACACAGGACAGTTCAAACTTCTCTCATCACCAAAAGATGGCCCTGAGGTGCTGTTTTCTATGCAGTTAAATGTGTGTGTTAAGACTCAAGATGGTGGAATAACAGTTGAGGCCTGGGTACCATATGAACATGACATAGCCCATGCACAGCATGCTGTAGCCGCAATTCCGTCAAACACACGACCACAGTTTGCCAGGTCCGACTCTGGGAGACGTTGGCACTCTTCATTCAATGTACAACATCTGACACCATTGTGCCTTCAAGTGACCTTGCCCCAAGGTTACCCAAATGATGCTGCACCAATCTTCACTCTCTCTTGTCTCTGGTTAGACACTCTTAAACTGACTGTCCTGTGCAAGCAACTGGACTCACTGTGGAAGGATTTAGGCTCAATGCCAATCATATACACCTGGATAGACTGGCTGGAACATAATACACTAGACTTCCTTGCACTTACAGATAAGGTGATTTTGACCCCATACTTAGATGCTGACTCTGCCTGGCTAGGAGAGCGTGATTCAAGAGCTTTACCTGAATGTGTGGATTTGGATGATTCCCTTATCACAATGCTTCGTCATAGCTTGAATGTGGATATGCAACAATTCACGACCAATAACCATGAGTGTGGGATATGCTTCGTTGAGAAACCTGGACGTGAATTTTTCCGTATTAGTGATTGTCACCATCATTTTTGTAGAGAATGTATGACTGATTATTGTAACCTCCATGTCGGGGAAGGGACTGTGCAACAATTACATTGTCCAGACAATGATTGTAAGTTTGCTCTTCCTCCAGTCATCATCCAAGCTGTTTTAGGAAATGATGAATTCCAGCGCTGGGAAAGATTATTGCTCCAGAAGGCCCTCGACACTATGGGTGACATTACATGGTGCCCACGCTGCAACAATGCAGTTATCAAAGAATCAGAGGAGAGTCTAAAGTTAGCTCACTGCACCACATGTATGTACTCATTCTGTACAGCCTGCAACAGTGCTTGGCACCAGGGAGAAAAGTGTAAAGGAATTGAAGAGAAACTTAGAAAACTGGAGGAAGAATCAAAGAATATATCTGAAGAAGACGCACGGCAGAAGAAGTTGATACGTGACTTGTACTTGACTGAGAAAACAGTTGCAGATACTAGCAAGCCATGCCCTCGTTGCAAAGTACGTATTCAGAAGAACTTAGGTTGTAACAAAATCCACTGTTTACAATGTGGGACCTCCATGTGCTATTCTTGTGGGGCTGACATCTCACAGGAGGGCTATGGCCACTTCACTGAGAGCCCTGAATGTAGCTTATCCCCAGTTGCTGAATATGAGACGATTGGAAATAACATTCCTTACCAACACTTCAATGTTGTACCTCAATTGATACGCAGGGTTCCCAAGAGGGAAAAACATGAACGAGACAAGCAGATAGCTGAAGCATTAAAAGAGGATCCTACGCTGAGGCAGAACATCAGGCAATGCCCAAGCTGCAAACAGAGAAACTTGAAAGAAAACATGAACAATCATATAAAGTGCTGGCAGTGTTCTACAAACTTTTGTGGCATGTGCATGAAGAAAATCAATGGCAAAATTCTCGATCATTTCAAAAAAACTGCTCCATGTATACAGCATAGTGAATCATAATTACATTACATTTAAAAATGTTGTACAGTACTTATTAAAGTACATGATAACATTTAATGTAAACAATGCACGCATACATATTATAATTATATCCAAGCATAAACCAATAACCAAATTGATGTGCAAATGTCACCTTTTAAAGAAAAATTTGTTTTATTCCAGTTTCCAAATTTGACAAAAAACTACCCATGCTTTATATCTCCCTCAAAAAATTCTCACGACATCTGGGACACCCTGTACATGGTCTATAAAATAATGAAAACAGAACTGAATCTTGTATTATCACATACTATGTAAAATTCCAGTGATCTGATTGGTTGGTTACTGTGTGAGTCTTCCCGTCTCACACAGTCATCTCACATGTTACTGGAGGCAACCAGTGATGACGTTTCATATTTTTGTGTTGGATACTGTTGATAACGTCATTACTCAATTGAGGAATAAATGGGTTCATGACGTAACAGTGTAATATTTTTGGTAGAAATGATGTCATTCATTCATAGCTCAGGGGGTCCAAACAAGCTATTTGCCTCAATATCAGTATGTGATAAAATCGTCATCACAGGTTTTGGCTTGTGTGATAGAGGAAATCTTCCACTCAATTTAAAATGTATCATCACTCAAGCTTCGCTTTTGACTTCCTTTTGATATTTTTTATATGCTTTATCCCTGAGACCAAAAGAAATTATTCATTCCCATAACGAGATGACATTATTTTAACTGATTAATTATCAATGAGAATTAATTATATTATTCATATCTAATAGCTGATAACCAGTAAAACAATTTGCCAGATATGATCATGTGAACAGAAATGGCCATGTGTTAGCCAATTAAGAGCTGTACAAAGTAAAATTGAATGAAAATAATTTTAATCATGTTTATACCAAAATATGCTTTCAATTATTCAGTTGTACTTGTAACATAAGGATCAGAAAATGACAATAGATATTCTGAGATTAATTTCAATGATAGATGATTTCAATTCTCCCTTTCGCGATTCGCTCTTTGAATCAGAACGTTCGCAAATATGTCCTAAAAAAGCACTCAAAAAGGACAAAATTTGATTGGTCAATATTTTCTCACTATGCATTTCGCGTAGCTATTTGCGTGACCCGAAAGTTCTAAATCAAACTAATTACGCAATTTTGTTTTTACACCGCACGCTAAATAAAACAATGACACCATCGGAAGTATTCTTCTTTGTCATTGCTTTAATAGTCAGTATACCGAGTTTAATCAATAAAAGATTGTACAATGAACAACAAAATTCGGAAACGAGTACTATAGATTTGCTTTCGGACCACTGAACAGAGTGACCTAGATAATAGCGACGCGTCTTCTTTGGTCTACTGCTCAGTTATTTGTGGGTTTTCAACGTAACTCTATGGTGTAATTTGAAGATGAATACCTTTATTCAGTTGTTGCATCGATGTTGTAGTTTGTAGTGCGGTAAGATTGGCATGAAAGTATTGAGAGTCGAATGGAATTGTTTTTTCCAATATGGCGACTAGTCAACTGATCATGTGACCTTCTCTTCCGGAATATTTTCTCACTTTTCAATCATCGTTTTCACCACGCTATGAATCAATACAATGAAAAAAATCGCTGTTATATTAAGATTAATAAGAGATCAATCGTTTCTAATAATTTTTTCTGTACCCTCGTACGGGAATATGAACGAATATATCGTTTGAAAAATAGGTGTGAAAATACCAATGTTAAACCAATGGGGATAAAACCAGGAAGAAAAAAGTTGTACCCCCGCGAACTGAATCATGGGTAATATTTTTACCATATAAGGAATAACTTTCGCACCTTCTCATTGAAGAGCGATTGTAGAGCCAATCGAAATTTCGAGAATTCATAAGTGTGTATTATATTGCATTGCATTATATTGCATTGAATCGTATTGTTTTATATTATATTGTTTTGCATTGTATTGTATCATATTTTATGTATAAAGCATAACTTAATAGCGAAGAAATACTTGCTTATTGATACTTAAGTATTGTATTATTATAAAAACTTTTAAAAGCCTGTATATTTTTTTAAATTCTAAGTTTTCTATTTTAACAAAAATAAAATATGTGTTATACACAAACGCTAAAGAATTATATTTCTCTTTTGTATCCCTTGTATATTAAGACACTGTGCAAAATTATGATGACTCAACTGACAATATCATTTTATTTGATGGGGTCATAACGCACAAGATATCCAGATCTGGTAAATTGATTTAATCAATCTCTGGAAACACCCAGGGTGCAGTGGCAGGGATAACTCAAATAAATCATTGAAACAATCACAGATGTTTCTTCAATGAGAGAATCACTTGTCAATATACTGCATGTTTAAAAAGGGAGTTTGTTGTAGTGGAAACAAAGAATGAAATCTTGTAAATGAAAGCACAGAATGAATCCTGTTAACGGAAACACAGAATGAAATCCTATTGGTGAAAACACTCAACAGAAATGCAGAATGAAATCTTGTAAATGAAAACACAGAATTAAATCCTGTTAATGAAAACACAGAATTAAATCCTGTTAACAAAAACACAGAATGAAATCCTATTAGTGAAAACAAAGAACGAAAACGCAGAATGAAATCATGTAATGAAAATAAAATGAAATCTTATAAATGAAAGTACAGAATGAAATCCTGTTAAAGAAAACACATAATAAACTCCTGTTAACGAAAACACTGAATAAAATCCTGTTAATGAAAAACATGATGAAATCATGTTACTGAAAACACAGAATAAAGTTCTGCTAATTAAAACAAATAGAATGAAATCCTATTAATAAAAATAGGACCCACGGTCCTGTGCTCACACAGTTTGGAACCTTCAGAGGAATGTATATCCTGACTTTCAAACAAAAATATTGATTTGGATTTGTAGTCTCAAACTTTGAGAAACTTAGACAGCACAGTTGTGTGACCTAGTTTGATGACCTTTGACCTTGAAAATTTTACTTATTTAGAGCTCAGTAAGGTCTTTTGTGATTACATCCAAAAGTCAATTTGAAAAATCAACTTCTTTGACCTTTCAAAGGTCACTGAAGGTCAAGTAAAGGTCAAATCCTAAAACTAATGTCAGATTTGAACCCAAAAATTGATCAAATTGAAGCAAGTTGAAAAATAACTAATTTTTACTGTTTTTTTACGTCAAATATCTCAAAAACGGTAAAAATTTGATGCTGACATATATTGAGCAATATGTAGGGAATGCTTAAATCTAGTTATGATGTAATTCATTGCAAGAAATGATCAAGTATAAGGCAAACTTTGAGAAACTTGTCAATTACAAAACCTGCCATTGACTTTATACATAAGAAAGTTTCCTGAAAATGACTAAGTCCTACTTTTTTGTCAAATTTTAAAGAGTAAACACCAAAAACTGTAATTCCAAGAGCTTTGAAATCTTCAGAGGACATAAGTTGCATATACAGCAACTACTACAAGTTATTTGAAAGTTATACTTCAACAAAGTGTCTAGTATTTACAGAAAATTTGATTTTTTGACGTCAAAATCAGCAATTTCTTGGAAACCGGGCGAACTTGGGAAATGGCGATGATAGGTCAAATAGGCATTATGGATATGCATAAAATGACTGTGGATATGACTCAATCCGAATAGCAGTTTTAATCTGTGCGGCCAATGTTGACGGACGGACGGACCAACGGACGGACGGACGGACAGACGGACCAACGCCTGGTCGATCCCATAGGCTCACTGTGTGAGCCAAAAACATAGATTAAAATCCTATTAATAAAAACAAAGAATGAAATTGTTTAATGAAAACACGGAATGAAATCTTGTAAATGAAAACACGGAATGAAATCCTGTGCTATTAGGGCTATTAAAAGTCAGTCCATCCCAGTGGGGATGGAACCCAATGTCAATTTCTTTTATATACATGTATTTCTTATGTTAGTGCCTCACCAATGAGGTCCAAATATACTAATATACCTCCTTTAGTCTATACTTTCCTTTCCTATTTCCATTTGCCTCTCCAAACATTGATCCTGGCCATACCCCTGTACATTATAAAATAAACAGTGTTCTCCCCAGGATTTTTTTTCAAGTGGGTGTAAAATTTTCACTATTAAGATCAAATTTTGTCAAAATATTCAGATTTTTCATGATTTTTCTCATTTTCCAGTGAGTGCAAGCCTGTTTTTAAAATAAAGTAGGTGCACTGCCCACTTGCTAAAATACTGGGCAGATCACTGATATATATGAGAATTATAGGCTTACCTTTGATGTGACAGGTTCTTTTAAAGTCCTTTATAGTCTCTCAAATTCTAGATAATAATTCCTCTTATAACCAGCATCTACAGAAACAGAATAAAAGAAAAATGATGAATGCACAATTCATATTGGGTCTGGTCTGGGGTTCTATTAATCAAGTTATCAAGTTATGATCCCGAACAAATTGGGCTGATATAATTAACATGTCAAGAAAATAGATGCTGAACTAAGAATAAATTTTCCAAGCTATTTCCAAAATTCTGATGGTTCAATCAATATGTAATCAATCTTTTTATATGATCAAATGTTTCAATTGCAAATGATGTAAACGGAAAAGTAGTATCTCACTCTACAGCAAAACTTCAATTTTTGAACACTTCTCTGATCTGCTGATGCTGAACACCTCTCAATGTGAGCACTTATTGGTCTTTTTTTATTATAATACATAGACTTCCATATCAAAAAACCTCAAAATGAAGACTTATGCCAGATGCCAATTTTAAAACTTTTGAACAGTCCTAGTGGTCTTTGTATTATTCTTAGAACAGCTTGAGTCTCAACATTACTGGAATAATCTATTTATTTTCACATTTTGCCTGGGTATTTAAAGCCCCCATAAAAGCTTAAACCACTTTGGCTTATATACACCGTTATCAAAGTTTGAGATGTGAAACATTTTTTTATTTCAAAAAGTGGTTTCTGAAGGACTTTTTGTTCGAAAAATCGTGAATTTATTTAAAACTAACTTTTAGAGGTGACACCTATCTTTTAATAAGCGATAATTCATCCCAATGCATAGCATTCATCCTCACATGTTTTTTGCCTAAAAAATTAAGAAAATCGGTTCATAAATAAGCGATAAATGAACTCATCAATGCACGAAAATGGTTCAGAGAAAAATGCATTTCAAAATTTTAGTTCTCATAGAAACCAATAGTACAGTATTATCTAAAACATAATATATTCTTCCTTTTAACCTGGTTAGACAATCAACATTGGTTTATTTTTGAGGTTCAGCATATTTAGAAAAGATTGACATTGAAAAAAAATTCAATTTTTTCAAAAAGTTTTGCCACCTGAGTGAGTCATAATGACATCACTTATAGGTTGCAATGTATTATGTGTAAAACATTGAAGTGGCACATTGAATATGGCATTTTATTATTGAAATAGTGTCTTTGCATTGGTGTTAGAAAGATCATCTTTTTTGAAATGTATGGAGGAATATTTGATGATTAAGAAATTTCAACTTTTTTTGAAAAATGGCGGGAGATTTGAATATTTGAGAAATGAAAAGCTGACAACTTCTTTTTAAAAAATAATTTTTTTTAAAATCTCTAA